CGATAGCCGCAGTACCAGTAGAAGTAGTACTACTAGTAGTAACAGCAGCAGTAGTAATAGTGACGACAGCAGTAGGACACGTAATGGCAGCAATAGCAGCAGTAGCAGTAGAAATAGTACTACTAGTAGTAACAGCAGCAGTAGTAATAGTGACGACAGCAGTAGGACACGTAATGGCAGCAATAGCAGCAGTAGCAGTAGAAATAGTACTACTAGTAGTAACAGCAGCAGTAGTAATAGTGACGACAGCAGTAGGACATGTAATGGCAGCGATAGCCGCAGTAGTAGTAGAAGTAGTACTACTAGTAGTAACAGCAGCGGTAGTAATAGTGACAACAGCAGTAGGACACGTAATGGCAACAATAGCCGCAGTACCAGTAGAAGTAGTACTACTAGTAGTAACAGCAGCAGTAGTAATAGTGACGACAGCAGTAGGACACGTAATGGCAGCGATAGCAGCAGTAGTAGTAGAAGTAGTACTACTAGTAGTAACAGCAGCGGTAGTAATAGTGACAACAGCAGTAGGACACGTAATGGCAGCGATAGCAGCAGTAGCAGTAGAAGTAGTACTACTAGTAGTAGCAGCAGCAGTAGTAATAGTAATGACAGCAGTAGTACAGGTAATGGCAGCAATAGCCGCAGTAACAGTAGAAGTAGTACTACTAGTAGTAACACCAGTGGTAGTAATAGTAATGACAGCAGTAGGACACGTAATGGCAGGGATAACTGTTGTAGCATAGTAGTCATAGTGATAACTGTTGTAGCATAGTAGTCATAGCCACAGAAGCAGTAGCAACAGTAGTAGTAATAGCAGCAGCAGAAGTAGTAGTACTAGTAGTAACAGCAGCGGTAGTAAAAGTAATGACAGCAGTAGTACACGTAATGGTAGCAATAGCAGCAGTAGCAGTAGTAGTGGTAGTATAGTAGTTATAATCACAGAAGCAAGAGCAGTAATAGCAGTAATTGCAGCCATAGCAGCAGTAGAAGTAGTACTACTAGTAGTAACAGCAGTAGTACTAGTAATGACAACAGTAGTACATGTAATTGCAGCAATAGCAACAGTAGCAGTAGAAGTAGTACTACTAGTAGTAATAGCAGCCGTAGTAATAGTAACGAAAGCAGTAGTACACGTAATGGCAACAATAGCAGCAGCAATAGTAGCAGTGGCAGCATAGCAGTCATAGTCACAGAAGCAGTAGCAGTAGTAACAGTAATAGCAGTAGCAGTAGAAGTAGTAGTATTACTACTAGTAGCAGTGATAGTAATAGTAACGACAGCAGTAGTATACATAATGGTAGCAATAACTGCTGTAGCATAGTAGTCATAACCACAGAAGCAGTAGCTATAGTAGTAGTAGTAATAGCAGCAGCCATGGAAATAGTAGTAATGCTAGTAGTAAAAGCAGCGGTAGTAAAAGGAACAATTGCAGTAGCGTAAGTAGTGGCAGCAGTAGATGTAGTACTACTAGCAGTAATAGCAGTGGAAGCAGCAATAGAAGTAGCATTAATACAGGCAGTAGTAGCTAGTAATAGCAGTAGCAGTAGAAGTAGTACTACTAGTAGTAGCAGCAGCAGTAGTAGCAGTGGTAGCATTGCAGTCATAGTCACAGAAGCAGTAGCAGTAGTAACAGTAATAGCAGTAGCAGTAGAAGTAGTAGTATTACTACTAGTAGCAGTGATAGTAATAGTAACGACAGCAGTAGTATACATAATGGTAGCAATAACTGCTGTAGCATAGTAGTCATAACCACAGAAGCAGTAGCTATAGTAGTAGTAGTAATAGCAGCAGCCATGGAAATAGTAGTAATGCTAGTAGTAAAAGCAGCGGTAGTAAAAGGAACAATTGCAGTAGCGTAAGTAGTGGCAGCAGTAGATGTAGTACTACTAGCAGTAATAGCAGTGGAAGCAGCAATAGAAGTAGCATTAATACAGGCAGTAGTAGCAGCAGGAGTGGAAGTAATACTAGTGACGGGAACAGAACAGCAGCAGCAGGAGAAACAGGAAGCGACAGTAGCAGCTGCAGTAACAATGCAGCTGCAGTAGACGCACCAGTAGAAATAGCATGAATGAGCAGGTACTCACCGTGAAGTGCATCTTAGGCACACTTAGGTTCTCAGTGTGGCACCGTATTAACTCACTCTAATATCGCCCACCTCTCAAAGGCTGCTCCAGGTAGAACCCCGGCCCTGGTGGTTGAAAGCCACTTCAGGTGCATATGTGCGTGCGCCCCACCACATCATGACCTAATGGCAAAGCAGAGGAGTAGAGATTTTGGCATGACTACACCCATGGAGGAGGAAGAGTGCTTTCTCTCTCTCTCTCTCCTCTTTGTCTCTGTTTTTCTCTGGTGAGTGCACATGCCCTCTGACAACTAAAAAAACGTCGCTCAATATATTAACCAGGAAAACGATGATAGGAACCAATCTGGAGATGACCCAGAAATTGGAATCAGCCGACAAGGATTCTTAGGTACTACTGTACTGTGCTCAGTGAGGTAAAGAAAAATATGCTCAGAATAAATAAAAAGACAAACGTTCTTGGCAGAGAGAAACTATAAAAAAATAGAAATTTGGGAACTAAAAAAAAATGCATGTCTGGAATGAAGTGCATACCATAATGGCAGGCACTCAGAAAACAGGTACCTACATGTGAGGGGTCAAAAAGTCTGTGCAAAATGATATAAAAAGGCACGGATTTCTCAGCAGATAGAGTAATGGTTACGTCGCTGGACTCTCACATGGTTGATCACGGTTTGAGTTCCAAACCTGGCAACTTCAAACATGCCAGGCACACGCACGCACCTGTGTGCGTGCGTGCCCAAAATCTTGAGAGGAGAATGGAGGAGAAGGGATTGCAGCATGGCCATCCCCCTGGGGGGTGATTTCTCACTTTCTGTCTCTCTCTGTCTTTTTGGTGAAAGCATATGCCCTGTAGCAAATATCTCTCATTAAAAAAAAAAAAGATTAAAAATGCATGGATTTCTACTTTTTGTGCCAAAATAAATTCATATTTTAATTTCATTTTTTATGAACTTTTTGAAGTTCTCTCATCTAATGAAAAGATCTAATTTTATCAGAATGAACTATAGTAGAATATAGTGTACTTTCAGACAAAACTAAGTTATTCGGACCTGATTGATTATGAAGGAGCCTGCCTTCTTTGTGAAGTGGCGTTCTTGCGGAGTCTTTATGGAGAAGCTCTTTGAGCAGTCGAACAAGGACTATATTGAGCTGTGCTTGCAGCCTGCTGCGGGCTGAGCAACTGGTCCTGATAGGAGTGGTGGGGGGGCTCTGTGATTTATCCACAAGTCCTTGGATTTTGGTTGCCCTGTGGCAGAGAGGAAGAACACAGACTTTGGAGAATTTTTGGTTTAAGTACCGACAGCGGCTTTTACTAACTCTGTGACCCTGGCCAGGATTTTTTATATTTTTGTGCCTAGGTTTTTGTTGTTTGTTTTAACCTATAAAGTAGATATTTTAAAAGTGTGCTTGTAGACTTATCCTGTGGATTTCTCATCAACATCTATTCCAGGTTGGGAACCAGCAGTTAGCATAATGGCTATGTCTCTGGACTCCCACGTAGTCACCCACGGTTCGCGTCCCGGACCCGGTGGCTTAAAACTCACGCCAGACGTCTCATAACAGCCGTCCCAGCACCCCAGCAGCAGCGACCACAGAGAAGTGCTGCCTCCATGTGGCTGGTGGGAGTAAGGGCCCACAAAGGGCACCTTTTCTTCTGTCTCTTCCGTCTCCAGGGCCTGCGAGATAACTGGAAACTGGCACTACTGATGGGTGCAAACCCAGCACCCTTTTAAAATAAGTTTTGCTATAATGTCAAAAGAATCATATCTAGAGGCTGAAAACAAGATTTTCAGGTGGTAATATTTAAACTGGCTTCATTTGCTTTGAAAATGGACTGGAAAATGCCACTTCAGAGCTCATAACCAACCCTCAGGGCTCCTCAAGGCTGAGAACATTGTCCTAACTCCCGACTCTGATCTGCAGACTTTGTGCACCTCTGCAGCCCGTTCTGTGGTTTCCTGAACCTTCCCTGGCTGTAGTGCAGCTCATTGGTAGACTCTTCTCACCAGCGCAGTTCTTTCTATTGCGGGCTCCTATGCGATGCATCAGGCACCTTTTCTTTCTTCCTTCCTTCCTTCCTTCCTTCCTTCCTTCCTTCCTTCCTTCCTTCCTTCCTTCCTTCTTTCTTTCCTTCTTTCTTTCTTTCTTTCTTTCTTTCTTTCTTTCTTTCTTTCTTTCTTTTTCTTTTTCTTTCTTTCTTCTTTGTTCTTTCTCTTCCTTTTTCTTTCTTTCTTCCTTCCTTTCTTTCTTTCTTTCCTTCTTTCTCTCTTTTTCTTTCTCTCCTCTTTCTTTCTCTTTCTTTTTCTTTTCCCTTTCTCTCTTTATTTCTCTTTCTCACTCTTTCTTTCCCTTCTTTCTCTCTCGCTTTTCTTTTTCTTTCTTTCTTTTAATGTTTAAGGTTTTTGCCATAGGGTGCATGAGAGACACAGAGATAGTGAGAGGGAAAGTGAAAAATCACCCCTGGGGGAGATGGCCACACTGCAATTTCTTCTCTTCCATTCTCCTCTTGGGACTTTGGGCACACATGTACATGTGCCTGGTATAATTTTCAAGCTGCCAGGTCCGGGACTCGAACCACTGTTGACCATGTGGGAGTTCAGAACCTTAACCACTATACCACCTGCTGGCCCAATGGGCACTTTCTTGAGCTCACATCTGAATATACTCCCAAGGCCCACTTTTGTCCTGCCACTCCCTCCTGGTTTGGCAAGTGCTTTTCTTTGATTTTCCCCTCTTAGACGAGGTCAGACCTATCTTTGGATCATTCTATTGGGATGACTCGGCACAACCTAATTATCTGTGTAATCTGTGCTCACTGACGTTCCCCTGGCACTGCGGTGGCTGAACCTTGTCTGCTTGCCCATGACTCTGTCTCCAGGGCTGAGAATAGAGCGGACAGTCAAGTAGGTGTGCAATGAGGGAACACCTACTAGCTTTTTTTCTCTTTTAGGTTTTGCTGTAGGACTCTGGTGCTCACCAGAGAGGTGGAGCATGGGGACGGCCACGCCACAATCTCTTCACCTCCATTCTCCTCTTGGGATTTACTGGGCATGAACGTACACACCTGGTGTGTTTTGCAAGGCACTGGGTCCGGGATTTGAACCATGCAATCAGCTATGTGGGATCCAACTACCTTACCATCACACTCCTGGCTGGGCTGCAACTATAAGCTTTTATCATTCTAGTTATTCTGCTTTTTCTTAAAAAAAAAATCATGATAGGGTACACGTGTGTGTGTGTGTGTGTGTGTGTGTGTGTGTGCGTGCGTGTAAAACAGAGAGCTATATATAGAGAGACGTATCCTCCAAGGGGCTTGGTCACACCGCGCTCCCTCTCTCTGGCCCTCCAGCCCACCAGGATCCTGGGCATGTGCGTACTTAGCGTATTTTCAGGCTGATCCACCAGGCAGGGGACTTGAACCACAGTCTGCATGTGGCCTCCAACTCCTTAGTCCAGTACACTACCAGCTGTAGCACAGAGGCTGGGTCTTGTGATTGTCTCAATTTCTCTGCATTCTCCGAAATCCTTTTTAGGAGGAGG